TCTGTAAAGTTCCATTGCTTTAGTCCGTGTATGTAGCATTTTTGTGGCACACGAAATTTAACGTACTGCAGATTAACGTCAATATTGTGGAAGTGACAGACAAATTCATTGGTTGGTGGCTGAGAGCTAGGACAGGATTCAGGGGCAAGGATAAGCGAGGGTTCGACTCTTTCGTAATCGAGACGGCTTGGGCATTGTGAAAGCAAAGGAATGCCAAGGTGTTCCGCAAGCCCGATCAAATCAAGACGGCCTTGGAACTAGCAGAGCATATTCTAGAGGAAATTAAAGATTGGAAGCGTGTCCGTGTTGGTGTAAGTGGCCTAGATCGTTTTGTGAGGAGTTAGTCTTTGCTTTTTCTCTTTGGTGTGGGTGTAACCATGATTGATGTTTGCATCAATTGATGGAGTTTTGTAATCTATTTTGCTCTCTTCTATAAAGATATGGTACGTCATTGGCATATTCTCAAAAAAAAACAAGAGCTGTGGCTAAGAGCATCTCTAGTAGATCCCACAAAACCTTGCCGTCCCGTAAAATTCTCGCGGTTTTGCAGGATCTTTTTTTTTTGCCTGAACAGGTCCGCTAAAAGCCCGCCAATCTGTACATTTTCTTCGGTGACCCGCATATTGGCCCCTCCACCGCAATATGTACAATGTCAGAGGGCTTTTAGGGTTAGCAAATCCTTTTCCTCCGCAGCTTCGCCCACTCCGGCAAGGAATTCCACCGTATCTCCTCTTTTTTGCTCCTCGATGGCCGGTGGTACTAGCGGCCGTGGCAGGTCGCCTCCGCACATTCGCTGCGAAAACAATGCGGAGGCCGACAACTCTAACCGGCCCGCCGTGGAGCCATGGCGCTCGAAGCAAGCGTGCGACCGCAGCCGTCTCTCCGGAGCAGCGGGCGGGGCCCTTGGGCCAGCTTCCACGTGCTCCACGACCACATATTTTCGCTCTTCCAGAGATGCCGACAGGGCTGATGCGGAGCTCATAGTCGCGGAGAAAGATTTAGCGGCTGGAGAAGGTGCCGCCGACCACCTCGCCGCCGCCAAGGAGGAGCGCGACCTCACCCACGCACTCCGCAAGACCGTCGCCAATTTCTACCATGGCATCGACAAGTGAGCCATCATCAATCTAGCTTTAATTTGTAGAGCAAATTGTGTATCTGTATTTATGAACGCTCTATGGTGATGAATATGTTCTAGCACCAAGTTTTCATATAAATTTGCAGTGCGCGTTTAAGGGATCTATTCTGCCCAAGTGGCAGTTTTTGTGGGAGGCCGTTTTGCTGGATCTGCTAAAGATGCTCTAAGGGCATCTCTAAAGTAGACATTCAAATCAACTTCCAGACCAAACAGCCAGGACGCAGTTTTCCATCTATCACCATCCCACATCGGTCTGCGGACCAATGCCGCAAACCGAAAGCAAACTAGGGAAACTTTACGAGAGCTCGCACTTTCGTAAAGTAGTACTCTGACACTCCGGCCACCCAAAACAACACCCGAACCCCATGTATCCACCCTTCCCCCTTCTCTGCATCCGGTTCCTTTATGGCTGATTTCGCTGTTGTACCACCTCGGTCGCCTGTCAAGTCCTTGCCGGACCTCCACGACCTCTGTCGCTCCACCTGGTTGCATTCCTACGCCGCTGTACCACACCTCCTGTCTATCCGCCACGTAGGTACCATCCAGCCATGCGGATTTCGCCCGTGGGGGTCAACACGTCTGACAATTGTGGATTCGGACATGGAGTACATCTACGAGCGCTACATTGAGATGTCCAACAAGGATGATTATGCGGACGAAATGAGGATGATTATGCGGATGAAACGATGATGATGTTGGATGTCCTTGCAGACATGGAGCGTGTGAAAGTGTTGAACGGAATAGGGCATGAGGGCATTTGACGCTCATGGACAACTACTTTGCCCCTGATGCCCTATTCGCGGTTAATTTTCACTGGCACTTTTGGATGTAGATAAATTTGTTTAATCACCTCTACAATGGCGTCCGGTCCTATGATGACTACTTTATTTTGAAAAAGGATGCCATAGGAACAACTGGATTTTCTGGATACCAAAAGCACACGACTGCATTGTGGACGGTGTGTCCGGCACTGGCGCGAAGTTTCCAGCGAGCTGCACCGTCGGGTCGACGCAGCTAGGCAACGACCTATTCGTCTCGAGCGGGGCAATCACATGGTCTTCAAGCAGGTTCAACGGTGCTGAAGAAGCGCATTCTAGTCAAAAGTGCCTATGGGGATTTTCTTTGCCAAGTCAGCTCTTGATGAATGGGACTCGTCTGTCATAAACATTCTCTAAGCGTTCTAATCCACCGATGGTTAACGCAAAAACAATTACTGTAACATGGTGTTTTTTTACCAAAAAGTCGTAGAACTATTCTTGCTGCAAACCCATCCTTCAGTGTGGTGGTTTTACGCATTTGACTCAATAAATTGTCTGAACACCTATTTTTATGGTAACAAGCATATTGGTCCATATTGTCAAATTTTATTTGCTTCCTATCTTTGGCAATAAGGTTATCATACCAAAATTTAAAGCATGCAATGGCAAGCTTGCCTTATAATCTGCGTAAGGTATCATAACATTATTGTTGCTAAGTTGTCAAAGACTCTGATAAAAGTACACAGCTTAGCCGAGAATCCAAGCTCTTTTCAGCTCCGTTTGAAAAATTGTCTGCTTACCTCTTCTTATGGCAAAAAGTATCTTAATCAAACAGGGAGGAGCTATGAAAAGTTGTGCAAAGTCGAACTGAGAGTTTAAGACACTTAAAACGACAACATAACCAAAGTGAGTAAAGGTAGTAGCAGCCATCAAGAAGATACAAGTTCCTCAGAAATGCATGCACCCGTTTGAAAAGACCTTACAGTTTTGCTTCATATCTCTTGTTCACACCTCTTTAAGCTCGAGCTTCAAAGGAGGCTTGCCTAGCCTTCCGAGGCGGAGTGTGGATGGCTGTGGAGACCAACAGATCTCCAACTAGGAAATGGGGCTTTGGATCATTTGCAACCTTGGAAGGCCTCACCTGTGACCAGAAATCTTCACTGTCCCCTAGAAAACTCCAGCCAAATGCTGGACAAGAGGAGATGTGATCGATGAAAGAATATCCAGCCTGGACGGAGGCTTCCTCAGGAAGTCTGGCAGGGAAGTGCAGAAAATATCCAACCTATGTATTCTCTGATCTGATGACAGAATCATCCAGTACTAACTGTTAATAGAATGTTCCAGGAAACCTGTTTGATAGAAAGCCAATGTACATTGTTAAATATCATGGAATTTCTAAATTTTAAGATATTCCACATAACATCAAAACAAATAGAGTTTAAAGCAGAATTACTACTATTAGCCACCAAAAACTTGGCTACTGAAAGAAAAGATAACCCAACCTGAGCTCCAAAAGATCTCTGATGACCTGCCAGATATTTCTAGCTACCACACAGTAAAACAGAAGATGTTGGATGGTTTCATGTTCACTACAAAAGGCACATTCTAAAGGTTTGATAATATGTCATTTCCTAAGGTTATCTCTAGTCATAGGTTTATTATG